TTCAAATTATGAAGAAACACAAGTTTTTGCTCCATAAACCGTATTTTCCGGTAAATAAGCCGCAAATTTTATACGCGATTTTCCCCTTGAAGTTTGGGGTGCGGTCTATACACCGGTCGTTAACCTACTCCCAAAAAGTTCAGATCGCGAACCGCAGCGAAAATCAGGCGCTGTCTGTCTAGCTTGGGCCCATGCTCCTACTAACTAGCCCAATTAAATAGCCTAGGCTTTGAAGGGCTAGTATTTGTAATTATACTCACTATAAAGTGCTGTACTGTCCTACTACATTTTCTACGACAATCAAGCAATGGTTTGGGTTGTTTAAATAATTATTTTCATAGTTACGTTCACTCAAACAATTTTGAAACAAGTTTAATTCGAAACCGCTTCGCTCAAAACAATAAATAAACTTCTTTTCGGGAGTGTGGTCCTAGAGGTCACGTGAGCAGCTTCATTTATGTCACAACAAAACACATGTGGGCTGTTGAAACTTTCTGTTCGACGTCTGGTTCCCAGTGGCTTGTACCGTTATAGAAACAATATTGATACCGCTATATTTCAGAATAAATGCTTGTGAAATTAATTTATGCAATAAAAAGAGTTTTCTTGAAGTTGTAATAATTATTTTACTGGAAATTAATTGAAGAAAGGCATACGTTCGTTCGTCTATCACATGCTGTATATGTGTATAGATGGTCAGTCCATTACATGCAGTAAATTTATGTGTCCATAATTTTAAGGTTCTCCCCCACCCGGGACTGGCCATCAGATACATGCCTCCATCACATGCTGTATATGTGTATAGACAGTCAGTCCATCGGTACTAGGACAATTACCCCCGGAAATTTAATTGTAATTAATTGTAATTGTCCTTGGTGGGTATGGTGATTCCCGGGGCGGGGGGTAATTTTCCAGGGGGGGGGTAATTGTCCGGACACGCAGTCCATCACATGCTGTAAATTTATGTGTCCATAATTTTAAGGTTCTCCCCCACCCCGGACTGTCCAACAGATGCTGTATTTTCTAACCATTATTTTCCCAAACATCATTTGATTGAAGCTATGCTGTAAATTTATGTGTCCATAATTTTAAGGTTCTCCCCTACCCGGGACTGTCCATCAGATGCTGTATTTTCTGACCATTATTTTCCCAAACATCATTTGATGAACTCCCGTCCCCCTGCCAACCCTTAGGTTTGTCCGTCCATCACATGCTGCCCCCACCAACCATTAGGTTCGTCCGTCCATCACATGCTGCATATTTATGTGTCCAGAATTTTTAACCATCATTTCTTGGAAAATAATTCCACAAATGTTGATTTTTATTGCTTGACGGCAGGCTGGTGGTAGGCCAAGAAACCTACTTTACGTAATGGTATAGTACAGTATATCAGATGTGTCTAGGCCTACACCAGGTCCGACGGTGTCGCCCAAAGAGAAGCCTACATTACGTATGTGTCTAGGCTAGGTCTAGGTACACCAGGTCCGTCAATCTTAGCCGTTAAAGTATACTAAAACACTAATAGAACACAAAGAACACCTTCAAATAATAGCACAAGTAAGTGGCCGATATGCCACAACTATCTCAGTTTGCTCGATATTTACTGACAGTCGCGAAAACAACATAAAGAACTTTTCTAGGCAGCTCGCGACAGAAACAAAATGCCGGGAAAGTTTGACCCGACGCATGCGCAAATCAAATTTTCGGCTAAAAAACGACTAAAAACTGGTGGTAGGGGGTATATGTTTTATCCCCTACAGCCTACATTTTTCATCTAACCGAAAAACAAACATTTCTTGCACAATTGCATGTCTACCAGCAACTATCGAGCACAATGTATATCTGCCACTATGCACCGTTTCGGAGCCTATTTGTTTACAAATATGCTGACCTCTTTTGGTGTCATATCTCATAAACACATTTTACATGTGAACCATTAAATTAGTTCTATGTGACCTAAGGTCACAAAGGAACTAAAAAAAGTGTGTTCCCTTTTCCCACCCTGCGTGGTGTCACGTCATGGTATCCTTTTTTGTCTTTGTGCAAAAAAAAATAATTCAAAAAATATTTTAATAGAAATTTCAAACTCGGAACCTCCCTTTACGAAAATTAAACTTAAATTGACACTAAATGAGCACCATCGTAAGTTTCAGGGTTTGACATTTGTGAATTGAATTAAATTTGCATAAATTAATTTTGTTGGCACTTGAGCAAAATTTCACAATAATGGTTATTACTCTGGGAGATACTGTTTCCCCACATCATCAATTTGTTCTTGGGTACAATTTCATGTTTTCCCAATACAATCAATGTTATCTTAGTTTATAGTTATGTTTCTCCACATCATTGTGATATTTCCTTAGGGTTTTAGTTAGGTTTCCCCACCTCATCAATGTGCCGAGCGCTGATTGTTTGAACGGCACAGTCGCTTATGGTTCTGGTGGTGAAACAACTATAAACTGTAGGCCCAGTTTACACAATTTGGCTCATGTGCACATCCTTGGAAGTGAGTAGAGGGTTACCCAGGTGTACTGGGTTCAGACAGCCTCTGTTGTGGACAGACCAGAGTAGCTTGTACCAGTTTACCACGTAGCTCAGACATGGAGATCCTTAGGTACTGTAAGTTATTATATGAGCTAGTTCACACCTTTAGTGCTTTGAGACTTATAAATCACTATATAAATCCAACTACAATACATTACATCTTGGGTTTTTAGTTAAGTTTCCCTACCTCATCATTGTGATATTACCTTGAATTTTTAGTTAGGATTCCCTACCTCATCATTGTGATATTACCTTGGGTTTTTAGTAAGGTTTCCCTACTTCATCATTGTGATATTACCTTGGGTTTTTAGTTAGGTTTTCCTACTGTGCCTCATCATTGTGATATTACCTGGGGTTTTTAGTTAGGTTTCCCTGCCTCATCATTGTGATATTACCTTGAATTTTTAGTTAGGATTCCCTACCTCATCATTGTGATCTTACATTGGGTTTTTAGTAAGGTTTCCCTACCTCATCATTGTGATATTACCTTGGGTTTTTAGTTAGGTTTCCCTACCTCATCACTGTGATATTACCTTGGGATTTTAGTTAAATTTCCTTACCTCATCATTGTGATATTAACTTGTGTTTTTAGTTAAGTTTCCCTATTTCATTATTGTGATATTACCTTGGGTTTTTAGTTAGGTTTCCCCACATCATCAATGTGATCTCTGGGCTAGAGTGAACAACTTGCAGGTTGCCAGTCTCTGTGTCAGCCATCTCAGAAGCACTCTATATTTTAAACAAACAAACAAACACAGAATTTAGATACTGTATCTATTCGAATAAACACCCAGCGTTTATTCGGGGAGGCATTTATTTTGGTGTAAAGTGGATACATATTGTATGTACTCAAATACACGCCCATTATTTTACTGTAAATGTACAACACATTGTTGTCAAACTTCTATGAGTTGGCTTTAGATAAACAGTTGCCTTCATCATTCCAAGTTGGCTACTGTGATCTATTAAAAAATAAATCAAGCAGCCTGAAAGAACAGACATGTTTCAGCAATTGGCAAGCAAAATATTTATGTTGGAAAAAAACCTCACAAATTCCCACAAAGCTGTTCTCTGGCACTTTTATGTATACAACAAAAAATCTAACAATTAAAATTTGCATTTTTACTAGAGAATAATATGTAATACTTTCCAAGCCTAATATTTGAAGATGTTAATCGATTATTAAAATGCAAAACTTGTTGACATCACATATTTACGGGGTCAGTTCCCTTAAGACTCAAATACTGTAACATTTTGCAGTCTATAAATTTATTCAATTAGGTGGAGCATGTTTTGAAGGTGCTAGATTTTTTTTTCACAATTATATCAAAAGCATGCTCAAGTTCGTGGTCCTTCATCACGAAAACATGAGGTCTTGAATGCATTGAATATTGTGCTCCTTAAAAAATAAACATATATAGATTTAAATATCAAAGTATTTTTATTACATGTAAATTTCTGGGACATAGGCTAGTTAATAGACACAGCTATTAACTGCAAATGCCTTATTTAATTTACGTAACTAACTTTGTAATTTGGGCTTATTACTGCTCAGTAGATCGAGAAAATTTAATTCATCATCGGCCATCTTGAAGTGAGCATCTATGCATACTGAAAACAGCTTCTATTTTTGGATTCTGTCCGAGAATCGACATTGGATGCATAATCTAAACAATGTGAATACATCATTGGAAAGGAACAAGATACAATGATGATAAGGTAAAGGTCATTACAGGTACTAACCCATGTGTACATATATTATACTGGTTTGTATAAATAAATTTTCTGTATGTATAGTATTATGTCATTATTTAAAAGACTTTTATATAAAAAGGTATTTGTTGTATACTAGGAAAAGATTATCATTTGGTATTTTATGATAACTTAGGTAAAAATAAAATCAGCAGTAAATATATAAAATAACATGAATTCATAAAATGTGTGACAATCAGCCCACGAAATTTGGAAAAAATTAGGACAGCAAAAGTTTGCTGACCTTAAGTTCTCCGAGGTCAGCAGCCTCTGCAATTTTTTACTACCTAGGCCTATATAATATAAACTACTATTTTTTCGAACACTCGACCTTACATTGTCATCTCCAAATTGCGATTTTGTTAATTTCTCTATTAAATCAATATATTGCTGGTGAGAATGGTCGTACTTGTATTAATCGAATAGTGTAGTATAATACATGTTTTACATAAGAAAATGTTATCGTTATCTTTGGCATGGAAAATATCAAGGAGAAATACAGACAAACAATTTTTCACCCTATGAGTTAGTTAGGAGTAGTATATATATATACATATATACATATACATATATACATATACATACATACATATACATATATATATATATATATATATAAATTTAATGACAAATGGGATAAACCCATAAGAACAACGAGCAGCCACATAAATGCAAATAATGATAATGTAAAGTTTAAACGGAACAGTAGAGAAAATCCGATCAAGAATGACAAAACAAACTAAATATCCACTGGAAAAAATCCCAATATCTTCAGACGGATCCGTTTCGGCCTTCTAGGCCTCATCAGTGCAGCTAGGGTAAAGATGAAGACCAAACGTTATGACCAGCTTGAGCAGAGCCTAGGCTAGCCCAACGTTCAACTGCAGCATCGCTAATGAACCGTCAATGCCAAACCAAGACAGTATATAGATACGGCCCAGGTGTGGATGCAAATATTGGAACAAGAGCTATGCGCCTACTTGATT